TAGTTTATAAAATAGATGGTTATTTGTGATAAATTTTCTAGAAATCTTTAGAAGCAAATAAAATATCTTTCAATTAATGATAATTGGCTAAAATGAGCGAAATTAATGACAAAAACGTTGATTGTTATGGAATTAGTCCCAAAAATATATGAACAAATTTATTATACGTAATTAATGTATAATATTGTTCGGAATATGCTTTTATTATTAGTTACCATAAGTACAATAAGATTTTATTTGATTTCCATAAATATTTGATTTTATTTCGATTTTTCATTATTAATTCGAATTTATATTCCAAAAAAATTTCAAAGATCCAATTTCAGAAATTGGGTCAATTTTCCGATTTTAACCCGACCCATTTTCATTTGTACTTCTCTTTTAATAGTATAGAGATTGTTAAGGTCTCAAACTGGCTAGTATCTCTTAAAGAAAAGTAGAAGACTTATTAACGGCATTGCCAGGAGACTTATAGAAAAATAGTGCCCTTAAATTCTTTTTATATTTATATGCTGCTAAAGTTCTTACTTCATGCATCCTTGATCCTTCCATAAATTTTCTTTTTGAGGCTTTGACTTGTTATAAGTTGGTACTTGTGAGCATATCATATTGAATGAATTTCACGTTTGACTTTTTTTTCAATTATGTAATAAGTAAAAAGTGGAAGTAAAAAGAAGAAGAAATGGAATGATGTATGACACAACAACCAATAACCCATTCTCTTCAAATAAACAATTAAATTTCTTCTCCTTTTTACTTTCTTTTTTACTTCTATTTCTTACTTAACTCTTCTACATCTAAAAATTAGACTCTTTGATTTATATTTTTTTTTATGAGAACCAAGTAGCCTCCCCTTTTATTATTAATGAAAAAACAAATCAAACACCAAATCGCTGTGGATTCGCACGAGAACCATCCAATATAATCGAAGAAAAATAACTAGGCTCTTATAATTGTTGGGCCGGGACTGATTCCCGGCATCTGGGTTCGAGTAGCATTGGCCACTGGGGTTCGACCAATTTAACATGGTTTCTTTGAATCCGAAGATTAGTTTTTGGGCTATATATATTTATGTTTTCCTATATTTAACCTCATAAGGGGGATCTTGAATCAAAATTCACAATCCCACAGTTCTGTCACATAAGGTGGAAATGTATAAACAAACTCTTTCTAGGCCATTAGAATTTTTAATAATGTCCTACAAATTTTATTAAAATCACCGATAATTGCCAGGGTTCGAAGCCAATACAAAAGTATTATGGAAAATCTTGATCCGTAGTCGATCGTGATCAAACATATTTCTAGAAACAGCATCACATTTATATATTTACTTGCATGAAATTTGCCTGCGGCGAGTGGAGGCAGTGCCGGTCCGGTAAAATCCGGGGCCAAATAAAAAAAAAAAAAATTTGGGGTCTTTTTAAAAGTAAAAACTGCTAAAAAATTTTTTTTTGCTAATTATGGAGTATTTATAATTTTTATTTAACAATTTTTAAAAATTTTTGGACATTGTTTTCTAGTTATAGGACTTTTTTCCTAATTATGAGGCTTTTATATTAAGAGACTTCTATATTTATTTTGAGGCCTATTGTAATCAATTTGAGGCCTATTTAATTCATTTTGAGGCCTTTAAAAAAAAAAAAAAATCCACATAATTAGGCCTCAAAAATATGAGGCCCAATACAAATGTATCATAGAAATTGGTCCAGGGCCGGGCCTTAGTGGAGGGACAGACACAGACTAATTAGCCTGATTGTTACACCAAAATTAACTACTAATTAAACATCAATTTGTTGAAAAAGGGACTTTAATTTAGGTGCATGAACAAAATATTAATATAGCTCCAAATGTAATTAATTAACGCGCTTGATTGAAAAAATAACAAATCTTTCCATTAATCACTACAAAACCTTTGAACGCTTCAACACCATCCCAATCTCACCAACGCTTCAACACCATCCCAATCTCACCATCTCTCTCACAGCGTCCATTCATTTTCTGAATCTACCAAAGATCCATCCCTTTTGCCCTAAATCTATCGTTCAGATCCAGAAATCAACACAATCATTAACGATTTCTTGTATCACAAGCAATATTGGAGGTAAGATTTGGTTAATTAATGCATGAGAAAACCACATAGGAGAGGAGGAACAATGGCAATGGAGAAGTCTAGCTCAAAGTACAGAACCCAGTTCTGGTACGTTGCAATGGCCTCTTTCCTCCTTTGGCTTGTCTTGCTTTACCTTTCTAGTTCTTCCGCTAAAACCGTTCATAACCACGCGAGATTGTTCCGGCAAGAAAATGTCATCGATCTCCCTATCGAAAACGTCCCACAAAACCACGAATCCGATGAAGCTCCTGTCGTTGTCTCTGAGGACATTTCCGTTGATAACAGCTCTCTTCCTGTCTCGGTCGATATATCTCCGGATGATCAGATGTCAGAGGACAAGAAGGTTGTGACTGATCTCGTTGAAGAACTCGAGAAAGAAAGGGTTGAGAATGAGAAGAAGAGAGTTGATTCGGTTATCACAATTGGTCGGTCATCGAGGGCAAGGAGAGGACATCGAGAGCCACGAAAGGCGAGATCTTCGGGTAGATTGGAGGCAGAAAAGAAAAAGGTTCGTCAAAAGGATGATGATGAGAGCAATGTGGAGAATAGTGATGAGAATCATCAAGCATTAGACAAAGAACCGAATTTTTTCGAGCCTAGGAAAGACGTGGAACCAAAGAAAGCGCAAGTTGATGATAATGACGACGATTTAGAGAGCAAGAGGGGTAAGGAATTGCCGAATGATTTGTCCAGTGATGATGTTGAAGATGATAACACCTCTGAACCCGAACCAAAAACTCAGAGAAAGTTTTCATCGAATAATAATAATAATTCCGAGGCGAAAAACAGAGTAATTTCCAAAAGAAACCAACCTAAAAGAGTCGGAAAAGTTATGTTACGGCCAAGAGAAACGCGAAGTAACGATCCATGTAAAGGAAAATATGTGTATATGCACGAAGTTCCAGCTTTGTTTAACGAAGAGCTTCTCAAGAATTGTTGGACATTGAGCAGGTGGACCGATATGTGCGAGTTAACATCGAATTTCGGATTAGGCCCTCGTCTACCAAACATGGAGGGAGTTTCTGGTTGGTATGCCACAAACCAATTTACATTAGAAGTGATATTCCACAACAGGATGAAGCAATACAAGTGCTTGACCAAAGACTCGTCTCTAGCTTCCGCGGTGTATGTTCCTTACTATCCGGGTTTAGACTTGATGCGGTTTTTATGGGGACCGTTCCCTTTCATGAGAGATGCTGCAGCGCTTGATCTGATGAAGTGGCTGAGGGAGAGTCCAGAGTGGAAGAGAATGGACGGCCGAGATCATTTTATGGTGGCTGGTCGTACCACTTGGGACTTTATGCGTACACCTGAGAATGAATCCGATTGGGGCAATAGGTACGCCACCATCCTTTAAAACATGAAAACTTGGTGAATTATGATAGATAGTTGCAAAATTATATTTCATGAATGTTTTAAGTTGTTTTTATTGGACAAGTCTTCTCATTGTTGTTTCTCTATCTACCTAGCCAGGTTAATGATCTTACCGGAAGTAAGAAACATGACGATGCTACTAATCGAATCAAGCCCATGGAACTACCACGGATTCGCGGTACCTTACCCGACCTATTTCCACCCTTCAACCTACGCAGAGATCATCCAATGGCAGATGAGAATGAGAAGAATTAATCGTCGTTACCTATTCTCCTTTGTCGGTGCACCACGTCCAAATCTCGGTGACAGCATAAGAACCGAGATCATGGACCAATGCAAAGCTTCCACAAGAAAATGCAAGCTTCTAGAATGCGTATCGGGTTCTCAAAAATGCTACAAACCCGACCAAATCATGAAATTCTTCTTGAGCTCAACATTCTGTCTCCAACCACCCGGTGACTCATACACACGCCGCTCCACTTTCGACTCCATCTTAGCAGGTTGTATACCGGTTTTCTTCCATCCGGGGTCAGCTTACGCTCAATACATTTGGCATTTACCGAAAGATATCGCGAAATACTCTGTTTTTATACCAGAGAAAAACGTGAAAGAAGGTAAAGTGAGTATAGAGAATGTTTTGAGTAGGATCCCAAGGACGAAAATTTTCGCGATGAGAGAACAAGTGATCAGACTGATACCGAGGTTAATGTATTTTAACCCGTCGAGTAAGAGCGAAGACACGGGAAGGTTTGAAGATGCATTCGATGTCGCGGTAGAAGGAGTGTTGGAAAGAGTGGAGGGATTAAGGAAGAGGATAGAGGAAGGGAAAGAGGAGATTTTCGATTTTCCGGAGCAGTATTCTTGGAAATATAATGTGTTTGGGAATGTTGAGAGGCATGAGTGGGATCCTTACTTCGATAGGCCTTGATTTATTGTGTTCTTTATTTTTCATTGGGAGACAAGTGAATGTAGTTGTGATTGTCATGGTAGAAAGAAGTCACGAGGCCTTATTTTCCTACCATGGTTTTGTTTGAAATTTAAAGGTTTTATTTTTAGAAAACCAAATTTTCATCAAAATTGTAAAGAACTAACAGGATGGGAAAATCGTTACTATATGGTGTATTTTTCGCATGATTTTAAAAAAGTTGGCGTAATGTTCTATAAAATAACTTGATATATGCTAAGAAAAACAAATAACTTGATATATGCTAAGAAAAACGTGTAAGGAATTGGTAAAAGAATGTGAGGTACATTAACGAACTTATGATTTTGCAAATAAATGGTAGGTTTCTTTTATTGTATTTTATTGTATAGAATTTAAATTTAAATATATTAATCTAGGTAACTAAGCATGGAAGCGTCTGTAGTCCAACGGTTAGGATAATTGCCTTCCAAGCAATAGACCCGGGTTCGACTCCCGGCAGACGCATTTTTTTGTGTTACCTGAGCTTTTTGTACCTGATTTATCAGTGAGGCTTTTTGTACAAAATTTTTTAATAAAGAAAGTACTGTAATATTTTGGACTAAACACAGATCCTTGTATAATAATATTATCAGTTTTCATTACACAAAATAAAAATCATAGTAATTAACAAGAACAAAAGGAAACCAAAAGTTCCATAAAAAATTTGAAAATCTACCAATGCTAGTTCCCATCTTCAGAAAAGGGCACAGCGTAAACTGGAGAAACAATGAAAGGTACGTTCTGCTAAACTTGTTCGGAGCACAAGACATACAGTGTGTCTCTATCAGAAGCTAGACAAGCTATACACCAGAATCCACGCAAGCTGAAACGTAATTTATCACACCAAAATCAATTTCCAAGATTATATGAAAACTCGAAGGATTAACTTAACTAGAGAATTGTTGATAGGCAGAGAGAAGAAATCTACATACCAGGAATAAGCTTAGAGAAGCAAATAGACCGTCCTGGAGCAGAGCTGCATGACCACCAAAGTCTTCTTCATCAATCTTTAGAATCAATGCATAGTAACCGTATACTATGCCAGACGAGATTGCCAGAAATCTGTCAGATTTTACAGTCAACGATGCTACTTGTTAAGACAAACCAACTCAACACGAAAGGCCTGCTATGTAGTATGATTGTCATCGATAACTAAAAATCTACGAATGTCGCCGAAAACAGTTGTAGGTAAAACAAGCTCAAAGTAAAGACTTAACTAACTAAAGCAATAAAAACAGATATTGAACATTCGGGTTTTGACGGTTATTTCTCTGTTATGAAAAACAGATTTCACCTAGATGTTAAGGTACCACTGATATATTAAGAATTCTATCTAATAGACCTTCAAATATGGCGGAGTTTTTCTTGCAAACAGGTACAAAATTTCGAGGCTTAACTCGAGCAGCGTTCATAAAAACTTTATAGATAAGGACAATAGTAACTGATGTAGCTTATTATCAGCTCAAAAGTGATGGATTTTTAGAGTTTTTTTCTGACCAGTAACATAGAACAAAAGCCATGTAAACTAATCGATATACTGGCAAAGTTGATTCGATTTCGGTGCATCAAGTACACCAGATATCTACAAACTATAGCTCAAGTTTAGGCAGGAGGTTCCAACTCTTTCTACTCATACTGTACATTGTAAGAAGATAAAATGACAGAACTTACAGAAGTAGCCATATCCCTCCAACCAAAGGTATCGCACCCCAAACCAATCCGCAGAGTAATCCAACTACTTGCCTGATCCAATGCAACACATCTCCCAATTGATCCTATCCCAAAAACAACCACAAAATTAAAAACAACTTTAAACAATCTCACAAAGCATTGCTTCATTATCCACGAGTGAAAACCAATCAGAATTAATCACAACTAGCTTCGGCAATCAAATACGGAAACATATTCATTCCTTTGCCAAAAACTGGCTTTTTCCATAACAAGTTCTTATGGTCGTCTAGATACAAGATGGGCTAAAGAAGCAGTGTAAGGAACACAAATGGAGAAAGAAATCAACTTTAAAGCTCAATTGCTACAATTCATTGTACACACAAGAGAAAGATTTAAACTTTAGAGCTCAATTGCTACAATGAAATAGTGCACAAAACAGAAAAGATTTAAACTTTGGAGCTCAATTGCTACAATGAAATAGTGCACACAACAGAAAAGATTTAAACTTTAGAGCTCAATTGCTACAACTGATTGTGCCCACAACATAAAGGAATCAACTTTAGAGTAATTATGACCAACGAACTCAAAGTTAACAGATTCTGCGATCGGTTCAATAAGAAGTTAGAGAGACTATACCTTGTCCCAGGAAGCTTCAGAATCAAACAATTTGGCGAATTTGAAAGAACCCAAGTGACTGTTTTGGTGATAAATCTGTTCATGCTGCTCTTGTTGATTCGACTTCGATGATTTCCCTTCTTTCATATTTTCCGATTCGATGCAAAACCCACTTCACAAGATCGGATTTTAGTCTCAAAAACCCTGCTTTGATTCGAGTAATCAGAATCGGACGAATCTTAGCTAGGGTTCTTACTTCTTACCAATATCTGAAGTTTTTTTTTCTGTTTTTGCTTTTGAGTTCTGAAGTCTCTGATTCAGATCTACCACCACCGGGAAAAAACAATATTTTTATTTTCTTATAATTTGTTTTTTGGAAATATTTCAAAATGTACCACATTTAAACAATTGACATTCAATATATACCTTTCAAAATGTACCATTTCTCAATTTCACGTGCTCGACCATGGACGAAAATATCCCTGATTGGGATAGAGAGGCTGTGTCAGAGACGGAGACAGCTTCACTCGGCGCTTCCAAAGAAGGAGCAGGGCATCAATTAATGCTGGACAGTTACATGTGGTAGATAATTGATTTTAATTAATAGAAATGATAATAGAGTAGGGTTAGGCCATTAATTGCTCTCTTAATATATCAGACAAAAGAGCTTTGTAGATCTGAAAAAACTGGAAATCTGGGGAGAAAACGCTGATGCTGGGCGAAATTGGAGTTCTGGTTGAAGAAGAGTGCATTTAAAGCTAAAGAAGGTAAAATTTATTGCAACATTTTTTGTCCACAGAAAAAGAGTAGATTTGTTTGGTTGTGATGAAATGCACCACCCACATTCTACGATAGTGGTATTTATGGCAGGGACGACGGTACTGATGGACGAAGGAGTAATGATAT